CGAATATTTATTGCGCAAGGCTTCCATTAGAGTTTCAGCGCAGATAATATTGCATTTCTAACTTAAATTTAAACGCTGTTCTTTCATTCTTAAAATGAAAGAATGAATCTTACTGAGCATTTCTTCACACATGTGTTTCACTACTTTATTTGATTTACATATAGATAGATTAGGCTTCATTTTAAAGTAATACTCTGCCTGTTCAAATAGCGATATTATAATTAATACCCTACAAATATATGTCGAAAACGGCAAAATATTTTGTACTACTTTGTAAATAATAAACCTTCAATAAATATATGTTTATAACAAAATAATAAATCATTTTACTTTTCGTGCTCTTATATTTAAAATTTCGTTCTCTTGCAACTTTGATGTCTAAAATTACTTAAATTATGATGTGAATAAATATTTTGAATATAGTTTAGAAGTCGAAACTACTATATCGAATTTGGAATTTATTATATTTTAAATAAAACTAGTCAAAAAGTACTAATGAATTTTTCCAAGCAGAACTTTTATTGATTTGTAGCATAAGACAACGTATATAATATAAAATGATCTGAAAAAAATGTAGGGTTACCTTCTGCATCTTTAAATGAATGTATGCTAGGTTCAAGATAAGGTACATATTAAGGGCGGAGAACCATTTTAGATCAGTGTGCCAGTTAAATTACGGTTTCAGGTGTGTATTGTGCCATTTGGTATATTTCTTTCTAAAAATAATCTTTAAACCCCTGCTTTGGTTTCAAATTGTCGAATTATATTTTGTAACTATATTTGCTGTTTAATTATTAATTTGCTACTTAGTTATTAAATTAAGTTATTAACTTGCTATTTTGGTTTTAACTTCCTTGTTTAACTTACTGTTTAGTTATTAATGTTGTTCATGCTCGTGCTCGTTTCTGAATCCAACTTTGACGGTCGTTAGTCTTGAAGATTTTCCTTTTCTTATTTTTTTAAATGTTTTCAGTGAATGTAAGCAAATAAAAGAAATTTAATATGCACATGCGGCGTGCCACCAAAACACCTCTCGCGTGCCATCTAGTGGCTTGTATGGTTTAGGTTTGCCGTTCTTGGTATACTATACTCTTTCAATATGAGTTTTAGACGGATTCATAATGGAAGTGGGTCTGATTGCCCGGCTTTACATGGATTAATATTGCATTGACACAGAAAATAAAGTTGCAGTCATACACATTATAAGGCATCTGCTCTCAAACATATATTTTTAACAATGTTCATATCTTAACTCTATGGAGAATAGTATTTTATATTATAAATATATTTAATATTTAATGTTTCCTAAAATTATTAATTGAGTACAAAAATAATGAACGGCAAAAAGTTTGCAGCTAAAAATATATAATCTATTAATAATGAAAAATTTGAATCTTAGTAACTAAAGAAAATTTGACTTTTTAGTAAATCAAGAAAGTAGCTGATTTTGCTTTTTAACCCAGAAAGCTAAAAATTATTTGGTACTTGAGTATTATCAAGACAAAAGAGTCTCCAAGCAGAGCGATTTAGCTCCAAATATGGATACGAATGACATAACAACACATTCATAACATATGTGCTTTCGTTTGATGTAACCCTGATTAATTCTCAATACGTCCTCTTACTTTTTATGAACAAGGATATAAATTAACTGTTATTGCTGTATTTTTCTTGCATTTTTGAAAAAAAATCACTAAAATTTGGACTTTTCTTCTCCAGAACAGCAAGCAGCGTATTATTTTCCAAGTTAAGGGATTTAAGGGATTAATACCATCCAAAAAAGTGTATTAATAGGCCCTATAATGTCACATGAATATAACCGGCATAGAAATAATAGATTGAAACAATTACCTGGGGAAAGTTTGCACTCATAACATTCTAAACAGAGCTTTCGCTTTAAATCGAATGGCCGAACAAAATAGTAGAAATCGACCAAAGCCTATGCCAAATGCTACAAACTGATAGTTTTAATCTATGCTAATTTCCTTTCATTTGTAACAGCATAAAGTGATTTAACTTCCTTCATATGGTACAGCAAACATGCCTTCCTCCTTTAAAAGAACCTAACAAACAATATAACAGTCCTGAACATCTTTCAACTACCAATAAAATGTTTAAAAGGCTTCTGCAAAGTTTTTATTGCTCACTCTTAGCTTTGAAACTTAGCGGCATGATGTGAAAATTCAGAACTGAGCAAACAATTTAACATTGAGCAAATACTGTGTTCGCGGTTTTTTTTTCCCAGCAGAGATTAGTTAGACAATGAACTACAAAATTACACTTCTACAGTAAATGGTTTTGCCTTGCAGAGGAGTGATAAGAGGATGAGGAACGTGGACGGGGTATCGCCGTAAACTACGAGGTTGTAAATTAAATAGTGGCAACTTAAGCTTGAAACTCGCAGAAAAGCGGGCATGAGCAAATAGGATATGGGAGCGGTGAGGTGGCTCTGTTGTCGATGTGTAGAGTGCAAAAAAACAGTCGATCTGCTTAGAAGGGTAGTTGTTGTGTGGCGTTAAAGTGAGGAGTTTCGTTCCCATCGCTCTAAAGCATGTTTTCAAAAGGTGATCAACGGTCGTGGCTTAAACTCGAAGTTGCACGTGACAAAAATGCAACAGAATGCTATCGAGGATTAGTGGAAGCCTAAGGCACAAATTCTTTATTGTATAGGAGAGTAGCACGATGGGTTCAAGCATTTCGTTCGGTTTTCGGAATGAGATTGCGGATTTGCAACTCACAGGTCGGCTTTCCATTACGCAAGAGCAGACTGACATCCTGAGCGGTCTCCTTACCATAGACCGCCGATGGACTGTCCGAGAATTATCCTTAGATGTTGGTCTGAGCCATCAAACGGTGTGGCGCATAATGAAGAAATCTCTCAACATGAGGAAACTTTCTTCCCTCTGGGTTCCACATCGACTAACCGAAGTACAGAAATGGCACTGGTATGCACTGACTGGCACCCATTTGGAGGGATACCACAATGAAGGAGACGCATTTCTGCAGCGTATTGTCGCCATTGATGAGACATGGGCAAGAGCCTATGAGCCTGAATTAAAGCGTCAATCAAATGAATTGTGTCACCAATGTTCGCCACGTCCACAGAAATTTCGACAGGAACCCAGTCGGGTGAAGGTTATGCTGATTATGGCATACGACTGGGAAGGTGTGATTCTTACACATGCTGCACCTGAAGTACAAACTGTCAACGCAGATTACTATTGCCGATTTCTACAGCACCATCTGCCACCCGCTATGCGGCGCAAATGTTCACGTTTATTGCACAACAATCTCCCTATCGTATTGCATAACAACGCTCGTTGCCATGTCGCACACAATGCCACTCTCCTTTTGCTACAGTGGCAATGGGAAATCCAGAAACACCCTCCCTACTCACCCGACATGAGTCCTTGTGACTTCGATCTGTTTCCGAAGTTGAAGGAACCCCTCCGAGGTCACCGATTTCCTGACGTTTCATCTGTACTCCACGCAGTAGAACGCTCGGTCGCTCACATCAACAATCAACACCTTGCCACTGGTCTACAACGGCTTCCCGACATTTCGCAAAAGGTTATAAGCTTTGTTGGTTCTTACATAGAAGGAATTTAATGCAATTGTACTTGTAAGTTCATTAAAAATTGATTTATACCTATGTTGCCATTACATAATTTACAGCCCTCGTATTATTCACAGATTCGCAAGCTGTAAGGGAGATGGCAACAAATAGCAATCTCTAGCGGTCGATTAACTTTTCCGTTTTTTTTACAAGCCTTTTATAGTGAGTCATGATTCTTGCCCAACAATGCTTACAATACATAATGGCCGATAAGTTGATTAATCCGTTACATATCTATTACATTTTAATCAGTTTTTTAGTCCAGAGGGACTTTGTCCCTGAATGGCTATTGTTTTCGTTTTGCGATTTTGCGTTGAATCACTATAAATGTCCGTTTCACTTTTCAAACTGTTGCCACCAAATGTTAGAGTCCTGAATTATATTTGAAGAAATTAAATAATGAAAAATCTGCATAAAATGTAGGTATATTTCTCGCATTGTGATAGAAGCACGGTGCCTAGAGCCATCGAATTTTGAATGACGTAATCCTCCTACGAATATGGGCATGTAAAAGACCGAACTTGAAGTTTGGAATTTGTTTTATTATCGATTTGATATTTGTAAAACTTTAACGAATTTTTGAGTAACAAACTAAGCAATTTGAAAGAGAGAAATGGCAAAACTCTACGGAGGAAAAAAAAAAACCTTTTTATCTCCAGCTCGCGGAACTGTGTGTCAGAAATTCTAAAGATAGGCTCATTTTAAAATTATTTTGCGACATTGCAATTGAACTTAATTTCATGGTTTAAGTGCAAAGAACATGGTATTTAATAAATAAAGGTAACACACAAAACGTTAAAAAATGTCCCTTTAGACGTAATTTAAAATTTGAAACTTTTCAGATATATTTTTTTTTATTTTATTTTTAAATTTTATTATGCATTTTTAATTGTATTTTGGGCCAATAGTATGCAGATATAGGTGAAAGAATTTACAGAAATGCAACAGTATATAAGAATATGGAGGCAGGTAACGTTTTAGCCAATTCATTAAAGTGCTGGACCTTCTAAGAAATACATTTGTTTGCTTGTGATTGCGCTGCGTGCAAACATTTATTATATTCTATTAATCTGATGCAGCGCCTATAAACGTTAATTGTTTATTAGCTATAATAAAAACCGAACTGATGAGAAAATATATCTCAGTAAGGAATCTTATTAACAAGTCGGGCAGATTTTATGTCTAATCACATTAATTTTTTAGTCTTGATAACGGAATTTTTACGTGGGCCATAACGGAAATTTTACGGTTCACTGGGCTCGAATTATAAAGGATACTTGAGGTCACTAATTCAGTTCCATGTGTTAAATAAGAAAAACCTATGTTCTGATTCTATGAGAGAAAACCTATGCTTTGTTACCATACTTTGCCGAAAAAATCATGGGCACCAATGCTGTGTTACTATTTCCTCTTAGGGAGGAAACTAATGCAGAAACAGACAGGTGAAACCGTAACTAGCTAAATATCAACTGCGAAACTAAACTCTTAAGAGTTTGCTAATTACCAAACTTTTAGTGATCATATAAGTGAATTTTTAATGCATTGCGTTGTGAAAATGCATCCGGGACCGCGCCGTGAGAGGATCGAATAAACAACATGTAAAATCAATATATATATAAGAAAAACACATAACAGATATAAAGAAAACATAAGTAATAGGTTTCCAGATTAAATATCAGTTTATTCAAATTCCTCACAATAAAAATTAAATCTTATCCTCATCAGAGAGTCTAATTTCTTATTTGTGTTACCTTTTAATTTACTTATTTTAGACACAGGGGAATTCTTCAATTTGTCATTTACTTTTTGTTACATTTAAATTCATGATTTGCAAATCTATTACATGACTCTTTTAATTTAACGGGTACCCGATCTATAATTTCTAAGAGGTTAAGGAAAACATATTATTTGCAATTCACATATGCTCTAAGGAAGATTACACAAACAACTTAAATTATTACATCCTAATTCATATAAAAACCTTAAGGTTTGTCTCGGCAATTTAGAAGGGGAAAGGGAAACAATTGAAAGCCTGAGAATTAATTTAAGATTCGACGTTGTTATTTTACATTCCAAGGAAGTCGTTGAAACCTTACTTAAAGTTCAAACACAAAAAAATATAAACTTATCTTGTAAGGACGTCTTGAAGTGGAGGACTCGTATCCTAATAAGCGTTGACGTCGGCGGGGCTCATTTTTACGGTCACAAATGGAAGTTTCAGAAGACATCGTCCTGTCCTGGCACTATTGGCGAAACACACACGCAGGTAACTGGTTTTCATAACGACGAAGCTATTTTACTCTGGAAAACAGAAACAGGAGCACTGCTGCCCAGCACGGCTGTCCGCCTGGTCTTGAAAGTCTTAAGTCACTCGCCCGGTTCAATTTCGCCTTTTAACCAGAACGCGGCAGGGAAGCATGTTTGCAGCTCCCGGCCGGAAACGTCTCTCTAGGCAATTACGGCTCGCCTGTTCTTGCTCATCCCAAGAGCAAGCTCGAAGTTACAGTCTTAGGTTAAAAGTAAGTAAGTCCACCCAGTAAGTGATTCCAAGAGTAAGAAGAGTAAGTGAGTAAAGTCTCTCGCCTCTTAGTCAAAACGCGGCCGGGGAGCATCTCTCTTCGTAAATTACATCGTTTCAGAACGCTCAATCCCAGAGCAAGTTTCAAGAGTAACGTCCAAAGTAAGTTCCGCAAGCAAGTCTCGCCAAGCCTCGCACGAAAAGTCTCACACGAAAAAAAAAAGTGATTCAAACTCGAATTTTCTTCCTCTCCTTCACAAACGCGGGCTCCCACTATGGCTTCAATTATCGCCCCCTTAATTTTGGCAAAATTTGCGTTTTCAACCCCTGAATGCGGAAATAAGGGTGATCGCGCATGCGCGCCCTTCTTCACTTAGCCAACAACCGGACCCTCAATCGCCAAAAACCTGAATGACTTACATCGAAAGTCAAGTGGCAACCTCTGACCCTTCTGTCACGTACTTCCTGTCCTAAGGTCAACTGCACAATGAAATTCCTTCTAGAACATTCTAAAGGACAAAGCGCGCGAAATCATGACTTAGCAAAATTGCCTCCCTTTCCCTGTTTCTTTTCACAATGAATCAAAGCTTGTACGAAAATTGCAAATAAAAGAAAAATAAATAATATTCTTTTAAACTAATTTAATATTCCCAAAAGCATCTGTTTTTCCCCAAAATTAAAGCATTAAAATAAATAATTCAGAATCAAATAAATTAAGATTTCCATAAATCAGAAAATCATTCACCTAGTCTTTATAACGCTATCAGACAAATTCTCTACACAACACATGCGTTTGCCAGATATGTGCTGTCCGTTTTAGTTTGATATTTTTTGACTGTGTATTATTTTATTCACATAATCATTAAGCAGATAAGCATCAGTTGCTGACTACAGTAAAGGCAAAAAAGTTCGGTTAAATAGAAAATTGGGAATAAATGTCTTTAAATGAATTTCAGAATGATGCGAGCAATATAATGACGAATTTGAAAGCATCTAAATAAGGGCATATGTTTAATCCTGTATAAAAAAATCGATAAATATATTCTTGATTACTCTGTGTGACAAAATAACATTAATTGACTCCCTGAATTTATAATGAATATAGCACGCTCTATAAAGATTTATCTTTATTCTTCTGGCTAGCACTCGCGTGCTCGAAAAGTTAGCGTGACAGAAAACCTGATATTAGACGGACGTTTCCTAAAACTGTAATTTATCAGTACTGAAAAATGTACTATTCATCACTTCCCTGCATGCTTGAACGTAATGAATGTCTCAGTGTTCACATACGACGCGATGAATGTTTAAAATAAATTTATTTAAAATAGTATGCCTTCATCAATTAAATATGATCATCAACGAAAATTGGTTCTAAAAATAACTAAAATGCGCTGAATTAAAAGAAGGAAGTACTTACTTGATAAAAAGTTCCTAATTATTTCAGTGTTTTCTTACAAACACTTTATTAACAAAACTTCGTAGTTCCTTGAAAAACAATGTTCGCAAAGCTCCAATTTGTCGTTAGACGTTTTCAGTTATTACTTAATGGTTTGCTATCTGCGGCCTAGAAACTGACTTGCTTCCCTTAAAAAAAAAGGGGGGGAGGGACAGTTCTATTATAGCTCCCGTTCTACTCGGCCGATTGACAAAATTCAAATTGCATTTTTCATGTCTCGAAAGCGTGACTTAGGATATATATATTACATTTATATATAGCATTGTTCTAAAATAGATAGTTTGACACAAATTCGGACTTTTTCTAAAATAGCATACCAATTATTTTTCATATTCCAATTCTACGACTCAGATTATGCCCAGATATTAATTTTTTTAAAATTTGGTGCGAAATTCACGGAGAAATTCAAAAATTTATCTTGGTCCAATTTTTTTAGTTTGTGCCAAGAACTTGGCGAACTTCTTAATATAGGGTAATCAATTTTCCTTTCTCTTCTATTATGCCTGAGCAGACAAAAAGGCACTTCGTTCCTACCTTTTTACATTGTGCACGATCAGGAAAAAAAAAAAAAAAAAAAAAAAAACATCGCTTCTACTTTCAAATAATTTTAACAAAGTGTTTAAACCATATTTGATGTTTTATCGCTTAAAACAAACATGCCAAATTCAAAACGCGCCAATATATAAATTCACGTATATCTTCGAATATACTTGCCGAAGCTTCACCAGTTTCCGAGATCTTGAATAAAAAACTGTAAGATTTTGCAAGTATGCTTAGAAATATGTCTACTTTAAGATGAATGTAAACGTTTTATACATTATAATATAATTTTTTTCAAAAAGTTATAAAAATTATTTAGAAATACAAATCATAAAAAATGGGGGAATTTTATTTTGAATGAACCTGAATTTCGAATTGTGAAAGGAAGAATCAAATAAGTTTAATAAAAGAAAGGAGAGAATAATAAATGTATACTAAACTCAATTAAAACTAAGAAGCTAAAATTTTGTGAGCCATTT